GGATGTCCATCCTATATATATAGGAAGCACAAATTTGTCATTCTTTTATATCAACATCATGGTTTCATATTTTTAAGAGTAATACTAGTTCAACACTATGTTTTAAAACTTTTTGGAATGTAAGAACATACATTTCCAGATGAAGTCTTTGTGAAAATAACTTCCTGTTCACAACACAGCTTACCTGCATTATGTTACAATATTTCAAAATAAGAAGAGAAAACATGATGAGCTATAATAAGAGAAAAATAAGTTAGAAAAATGATTGAATGGTAATTCAGAAGCATCTCGCCGTTGTGCCCTAGAGGGATAACAGGTGCCAATGGCAACTGCGGATTTGGTGGTTCTAAGCAAGTTGGACGCGGATACATGCTGTTGAAATAAATAAAGCCGGTTTCATCCTCTAACAGACGTTTGCATGTAAAGCACTTCAGGTCAGTAATATTTTTAACGTAGCGGTAGTAAAAGAGACAATCCACATGGCCTGGGTGTGCTAAACATTCCATTGGAAAGACAATTCGTTGGCTTTCGCGACTAGGAATTTCTGATGTGTATGGTGATATGTGGAAAGGTTGATAGCAAATAGGGCAGAGTTTACCCAATGCATGATGTAAAAAAACTAAAAGAACAAAGAGCTGCTTGTCATTCACCTGACATCACAAATTCGCTTCTGCTTATATGTTTGTAAGAACACTGGTCCAACTTTCCTATTGTTGTTTCACTTGCTAACATTTGGATAGAATATAAGATCTATCAGATGTCTCAACTAGCAAACACAACTCGACAAGGCACTAGCTAGAAGAGGCTGTTGTAATCCATTTTAATCTGTCAATGCATTTCCAAAAAAAGTATCAAAGCTTTATTTTCATCAGATCCTACGGAAACATTTTTGCACAAAAATATTATAGAAGTAATGAGTGATAGAAGGGTAAAAAGATCATTCAAACTTTTGATGGGCAATTTGGTAATTCAACTTTGAATATAGGGATTTCCCACTTTTAGTATAGTATGATTTATTTGAATATTTTATGTCACATTTGGAGTATAACTTGTTTTTTAGAAAACAGTTACGCAAATTGAGTTCAAAATAAGAATTGTGACGAGGGCCGAAAGGATTCAAGTTTTTACCTTTCCTTATTGTATCCTTTTACGCTATATAGTTCATGAAGTAATATAACTTAAAATATATAAAAAACAGTTCAGTGCACAAAGCATCCCGTGTTTACGCAAGGTTCAGGAAAAGTCGTAGTCTACACTGATGTAAACATCCGTGGTTGATTTCATGCTTGAAATAATTACTCATTTCTTGCACAAGGCTTGCATCTTTATATATATCAACATGAATTTTGCATTCTAGAATTTGTACAAAGAAAAGCAAAAGTCTGAAATTGAGTAACCATTATCAATCTTCCTAAAGTTCAGTCTTGTCTCAATATTAGGTCATTTTCAACCGAAGCCACATGAGTCGTTTCTACTTCAAGATCCATAGGTACGAATCATTCACCAATTTAAGATCATTTTTTTTTATATCTCCTCAGGAATTTCTCATTTTGCTCCCTTAGTGACTCGAACCCGCATCTTCAGCCATGGCTATCGAAACTAGGGTGGCGGAAGGTAGGTTCCGAAAAATTGTATAATTTTTTTTTTACAGATTTTCTAGAACATGCTCGTTTGTCAATGAGCAATCTAATAGGTACATCACTTATTTCCACTAGACAAGATTGGTGAATAAAATGTGTAATTTATGGTTATGTTCAAGAAATATGTTTGAGACAAGTCACCTCAATATCTAGCTTCATTCCAGTTAAAGGACAAATGAGTACCTCCTGGAATAGTTATTCTCGCTTAGTACGTCACCATATGATTCTACCTCCCTTACGTAAGACTTGAGTTTCAAATGATTATCCTAGATTTCCAACATCATTATTTAGTATTTTCTTACTTTATGTTTCTTCTTTCGATAGTCCTATGCAGTTGTTGGAAAATATCTGTCATGTTTCTTAGACAAATATTTCCAAGAAATTTTATAAAGTGAACAGTTATTCTTTTTCCTTATCAATGATGGGTATTTAAACTATACCATAAAATTGGAATAAAGGATGTTTACCCTCAAAATCGGACAATAATTAAATTATTAAGTTTTTTTAAGAATACACAAATTAATTTGACACAAAGCAATAAACTGAATTAGATTGGACAAGCAAAGATAAAATGAATTCAAACCACGCGAGGACGGATTCAACCTTAGTGAAATATTAGCCCTCAATCCAGGCTCACAATAGCCAACACTGATGAACAAGAAAAAAAAGCTAAAAAACAGAGAAACTAATAATATATTGCTTTTTAATGCGTGATACAATGTGTCTCGTGAATTATCAAACCCCCTTTATATAGTAGGGGAGTCATACTCTAGGTACAACTCTATAAAAGGTAAAAATCCTCTAGGTGGGTCCGCCCGGGCTGAGCCCGGGTCCAATTGTCATATCCAAATTCAAATTCTTTAGTAACTGCTTAAGACAAAGCTCTAAATGCTTATATGTTTACTTGACAGTCAAAAGGAATGGTAAATCGGACTCATAACAGATGTTGAAGAACACTTCGCACGACTAACAGGAAACACAAGCTAGTTTTACTCGGAATCATCAAATATATATGTGATAGTAAAACCAAAACGTAGAATACTAATTGATCATGTAGATATGTAGAAATCCACAAGAGTAGTTACATTGAGCAGCATTTATGGTACTAACATTGATCAGTGACGCATGCGACGACTAAATAAGTAACAACTTGATCATTGTTATCTTTATGCTGAAAAAGATGAAGCAGTTGTTTCTTTAGCATTTGGAAAAAAGAAACCTTCTTTTTTTTCTTCTGAAATTCAAATCTTTAGCAAGAAGCCTAAAGCAAATGAAATTACTACCATAACATTCTCCAATTTAGCACAAAACAGCCATAAAATTACAAAATCACAAAGTATCAAGAAACAAAGAAAGCCAGCAAAATCAGGGAGCATGAAAGATCCTTCCAAAACTTATGCGTCGTTTGCTTTTTACTTTTTTGCAGTTTTCTTGACTTTAATCCCTCTTTGGCTACTATAATGATAAACTACCTGCAGTCAGTGGCGGAGCCAGGCTTTTTATTAAGGGGGGTCAAAATATAAACAAATAAATTCACCAAGAAGTCAAGGGATGTCACTATATAGTATATATACATTTTCTTTTTAAAATTACCGAGCTAAACAGTGTAATTTTCTGACGAAGGGGTGTCGGTTGACGCCCCTTGGGTGCATGTGGCTCCGCCACTGCCTGCAGTACCGTGGATACATAATTTCACAAACGATATACCATAATGTCGCAATTAAAATACATAAAGAACTATTAAGGCACATCGCCTTTTGGAGTTTGGACACCCATCCTTGCCAATGCACAAATTATTCATACCCAGACAGCCAGACTCCCCTATTGAGCAATCATCATATATAGAAGATGATATCTTTATAACAGCAGCAACCTTTTCGAAGAAGAATTATTAAGGTTAACTGAATACAGTAGTAAAACACAATAGAGTTAATAGCGGCCTATTATTATATCACAAAAGCAATTGTTAATTAAAAGCATAATTAAACATTAGCACCAAATCTCTCTGAAAGCGTCAACATATATCGGTCTAACTGCCTTTACTTTTGCTTCAAATTTCTTATTTATTCTCAGGTCAAATGGAGGAAAAAAATAAGGATTACTCCTATGATAGGAAAAAGTTTGAATTATTTAACTTTTGAAATTGCTCAGCGTCATTGCAACAATTGAAAAAATTGTTTAGTACTTCAATGTTATTTCAATAGTAACTAAAATTTGTTGTTCTCTCCATTTCAATTTATGT